ACTCAAAGAGTTGCAATATGAAGAAATCTGTATTATGGGGGACTTCAATGCAGTTGTTGACAAATTATTAGACTATAAGGGAAACAATACAAAGTTAGGAAAAAAAAAGAAATTTCCAAAAAGTTTTTTTGATTTGAGGAAGGATTTTAATATTTGTGACCCATGGAGAGAAAGAAATTTAGAGAAAAAACAGTATACATATTATTCTAATTGGCATCAGTCATGGTTGAGACTCGATATGACATGGATGACCAATAAATTAAATTCAGAATTAATTGAAATAAGTATTGAACCAAATTTTCTGGCAGATCTTAGTATGATTAGTTTTAGCTGGAAAGGCCAAAAGCAAAGTATAGGATGGACACTCCAAAGATCGATCTTAAGAGAGGAAATATTTAATATGACACTAAAAAAAGAATTAGAATTTTTCTTTGATGAACATAAAGAGGAAGACACCTCCCACAAAATAATTGGGATACGGTCAAAGCAATGATAAGAGGAGTAGCAATAAAATATATGGCCAAAAAAAAAAAAAGAGAGAAAAAACAACAAAGGAAAATATTTGAACAGGAATATAAAGACTTGGAGAAGAAATTACAAGAGACACCACAGGAAAAGCAATTCAAGTTACAAATGGAACTATTAAAACATAAAATAAACTTAATAGAGAAAGAATAGTTTGCCCACCAATTAAAAATGACTAAACAATGTCAATTTGAAAATGCTAATAAACCAGGGCGCTGGCTAGCGTATAAACTGAAAAAACAAAAAGAAAAGAGGTGGATTACTAAATTAAGAAATGACCAAGGAGAGATCTGTTATCAAGAGGAAGAAAAAAGAGTGATAATCCAAAAATACTATGAGAGACTATATAGAGAGGAGGAATACCCAGCAGATGCTAAAATAAAAGAACATCTAAAGAAAGCAGGACTGACAAGAATCTCAGAAGAAGATAAAAATATCCTGAATCGAGAAATAACAATAGAAGAAATCCACTGGGCAATAAATAAGCAGAAAAATGACAAAGCCCCGGGCCCAGATGGTCTCCCAGTGGAAATTTATAACTCACAACAGGATACACTAAATAGTAAATTGCCTAGAAGTGTTAGAAGAAGGTAAAATCCCTAAATCTTGGAAGGAAGTGAGGATAACAATTATACCTAACATGGATGTGATATTATGGACCCTGGAAACTATAGACTGATATCTCTACTTAATGTTGATTATAAAATTTTTGTTTCAATTATTGCAGAAAGACTCAAAAAAAATTTAAATTAATTTATCTCTTCAGACCAAAATGGATTTCTTCCCTATAGGCAACTCAAAAATAATATTAGGACAACTCTGGATACTATAGAATATTATGAGGACCATAGTGGTGATCAAGTTGCATTAATGTTTCTAGATGCCAAAAAGGCTTTTGATAATGTTAAATGGAAGTTCATCTTGCAGCAAATTAGAGATATGGATCTGGGACAAAAATTCTTAAATGTAATTTCGGCAATATATGAAAAACAAGAAGCCAGAATTTTGGTGAATGGGGAGATAACAGACAAATTTCAAATTCAAAAAGGAACCAGCTAGGGATGCCTATTATCGCCACGTCTCTTTATTATGTCATTGGAGGTTTTAGCAAGAATAATTAGAAATGAAACAGAAATTAAAGGTTTAAAAATAAAAAAAGAATTTAAATTACAAGCCTTTGTGGATGACTTACTTTTTATATTAGAGGAGCCACAAAATTTGGGACCAAAATTATTAAACAATTTAGAAAAATTTGGAGAAGTTGTGGGGCTAAAGATCAACAAGGATAAAACAAAAATTATTTCTAAAAATATGACAAATAAACAGAAAATTATTAGTAACAAGAATGGGCATCCAAATTGTAGAAAAGGTCAAATATTTGGGAATTACTATTTCGGCAAGATATACAACACTCAAAAGAGACAATTATGACCCATTAATAAAATGAATAACTAAAGATTTGGAAAAATGGGACAAATTAGGGCTATCCTTCATGGGAAGGATACCAGTAATAAAGATGAATGTGCTGCCCAAATTACAAATTTTTTTTCAAAATGCCCCTATAAAACTAGAAAAAAAAGTTTTCTGATCATTTGAATAGAATAACAACAAATTTTGTTTGGCAGAAGAAGAAACCAAGAATTCAGCTAAAGTTGATGCAGGATGCTGCTGAAAGAGGAGGATTTGGCCTACCCGACTGGGAGTTGTACTACAGAGCCGCAATATTAACTTGGGTGAAAGATTGGATTAATCATAGAAATAAAAGAACTTTGATACTAGAAGGTTACAACTTATAGTCAGGTTGGCATGCCTTTCTCTGGCTGGAGAAATCAAAAGGTTATAGTTATGTGCATAGTCATAAAGTGAGACATACTCTTTTAAACATCTGGAATAAGATAAAAAGACAAATGTACATAGAAACTCCTATTTGGTTATCAACCTTGGAAGCATTGATGCACCCACACCTTTTGCGCCAAGGGAAAATCATCACCTATGAAGAGATACTAAATGAAAAGGGAGAACTACAAACTAGAATTGAAGAACCAGGGAATCGAGGTGGAATGGTGGGCCTATTTGCAACTCCAATCAAAATACTTAAAAGATAAGAGAGAATGGGGAATTAGTAGAACTAGGACAAAATTAGATGAAATTTTATTAGGACCTGAGCAGAAGATGATTAAAAAAATATATCAAGTTTTATTGGAATTTAAATTAGAAGAAGAAAAAGTGAAAGAAACGATGGTGGTATGGATGAAAAATTTTGGTAAAGCATTAAATTAGATGATTGGCAGAAACTATGGAATAGAAATAAAAAAATGACACTAGAGATAGCTTTCAAAGAAAATCTGTATAAATTATTTTATAGATGGCATATACCACCATCAAGATTGGCAAAAATGAACACTAAATTTTCCCCTATGTGTTGGAAATGTAATAAAGAAATAGGAACTTATTATCACTTATGGTGGAGTTGCAAGGAGGCCCAAAAATATTGGCAAAATTTACACAGGTGGATAGAAGAAATGTGTGGAACAATACAGGCCTGAGTTCTTTTGTTGGGAATTAATACTGGGAAACACGATAAAGAAAGCTTGTATTTAATGATTCATGTAATTACTGCAGCAAGGTTGGCATATGCACAGAATTGGAAAAATAAAGACATGCCAAATGAATTGGAAATACTGAAGAAAATCACAATGTGTGCAGAAATGAATAAATTAACAAAAGTACTAAAAAATAAGGAAGATTCAGATTATTATAAAACATGGGAGAAATTTTATGGTTGGCTAGAGATGAGAAAGATCAAGGAGAATAAGGAATGATTATATGTGTATTTAAAGTGTATAGATGAAAATTATGTAATATTACTATTGGATTTAGCGATGTAATGACAATGATTGATGTTAGGGAAACTGTACCACGTTCAACGTTTTTTATTGTAAGAATTGTGTGCCTTTGTGTTTGTTTATTTGTTTAATAAAGAAAAATTTTTAAAAAGAGAAGATTTTATTTTATTCAATATTGTATGTTTAGTATTTGTTTATGTTTGTTGTTTAAAATTTAAAAAAATGTTCAAAAAAAATAGCACTGATTTTCAGGAGTGCCTGTGGGACAAAGTTGACCCCAAAGGGAAAGGTTGAGAAGAAGCATGTGGTATGGAGCTGAGGGACACTAAGGAGATGGGAAGGACCCAGCAGGAGCCTGATTTCCACCAAGAAGGACCCAGCGTGGAAAGGTTTTGGCGAGAACCTGCACTCTGACTCGCCCCTCGAGTATATTCTACTCCTTCCCTGTCCCTCTCCTCCAGGAAGTCAGGGCAATGTCCCCCTTCTCTTCTGCCTTGTGACTGCATCATTGTCTGGAATCAATTCGGCCGAGTAGACCAAACTCCCCAGTTTCCCCCAACTGTCCCTCAAAAAAGACAGCCTCTTTTGTAAGAAAGGAGGAGATTTAACAAGAGGTTCTTTGGTTGAAAGAGAAGTGCTCTCTCCAGTGAGTCGACATTGGCGAATGGAAGGTGGTGTAGAGCAGTAGAGAAACAGCCTTGCAGAAAATACATGGCAGCTGTTAAGAAAACACAAATTCACCCCAGGAAAATGGGAAGGGGTGAGAAAGAACCTCAGGGTTGTCCTGCCTTGATGCTCTTTGGAGCCAGAGAGAGTGAAAGGGAGACGCTTTCAGGATTCTGCTACTATAATCCATATCAGTAAACTCGAGTTCTAATATTTCTTGTGTTGGTGGATTCCCAGCCTGATGTACCTCAAAGGATTGACAGATGGGAAAGCTCCAAAGAGTCGGTGCTTCCGAAGGGACATGGGTCCAGGATCGGAGAGAATTAGCCTATGGGGCCAGTTGATACTGGGGAAGGTCTGGATTTTCACATTCGCTTGAAGTCTCGTCATCTGAGGGGAGAAACCAGGTTCTCTAAGAGAAGGAGTTGGCTCAGGGAGACTTGGTCATGGATCTCTGACTCGGGTTCTGCAGAGGTCACTTGGCGAGGGCTGGATTAAAACACAGAAAAGAGGGCTCGACATTCTGACTGACCAAGCAAAGCAAACATGGTCGAGACGATCCAATCTCTTAACACAAAACTTTATTGAGTACATCATTTTGACAAAGATGAGGGCAAAACCAGATCTAGCTAATTCCCACCCAGAGCCACCATAGTTGAAGTTCAGGTTCTGCCTCCCCCTATTGGACCAGGACTCCTGTTGTCCAATGGAATCTCTTGGTATTGTTGTGAGACAGTCTGGGAAACACCTGCTGAAGTGTCCCTGGTTCCCACAGCTGTCATCTTTTTTTAAATTTATTTATACATTTTTCTTTAACATAGGGTAGGTATTTATTAAACAGTGTATTGTCTGGGCCATCTTACATATAAATAATAATAGTAATAACAATATTGTTTGCTTCTATATAATAGTATTCTTCCAAATTCTAATTTCTACCTTTATTATCTAACCATTGATAAAACAAATCTTTTCTCATACTAGGAGTAGAGCGTTCCTTACATAACATCTTTGAAAGTATCTATAGATACTCACGACTGGCATCTTCATGTCTGAAACCCAAGTTCTATCTCCCCCTTATAATTCATTTGAAGCAGAGAAGTGACAATAGTTTCAACAGCAAAAACGCCTTTGGAAGCTTGAGAGTGGCCTTGGCAGAGTTGCCACCTTGGCAGAAGTGGCTGAATTAGAGACTTTCTGGTCTCTGATGGAAAGGGAAACGATCAGAGGTTGTATCTTTTGTTGATGTTCATCATATCTGCTCTGTAACAAGGAGCACATCTATTCATTTCCAACAGATCATCAATCATGGTCATCAGTTTGGCCACCTGAGCCTCTCTTTCCGCTCCTTTGGCCTCGTTGTTGAAAGCCAGGTACCAGTTCCCGCATTAAATTTTCTAGAGATTCACCTTTCAGGAAATCTTGAACAAGATGATCGTGTAATCCTTGGCTTTAAGGCCAAAAATCTCTTTGATCTGCTGAACCACGTCCATCTCCTGGAAGAAAGAAGAAGAATCCATCACTTGCAGAATGACGTGGGGACCTGGGGAACAAAACTTGATGCACCTTCTCTCTTCTGCAGCAATATCCTTGTCTGGAGGACTGGTAAGGGAAAAGCCAGGCGTATCAACAACCACAAGCTTCCTGCCCTTCAGCTGCACCTCCTCGTTTTGGTATGCTTTTGTTACTGACCAATATACCCATTCAAACTTTCCACTGAAGACTTCGCTTCCCAGGATTGTGTTTCCCGTCGCACTTTTCCCAGTTCCAGTTCTGCCCACCAGGATGATCCTCCGTTCAGGCCCTGCAACCCAAAGGGGAGAGGAGAGAAGAAGGGGACTGGTGAGCAGCATATGGCCATTGTAGCCTGTCCCTCCACCCAGGACAGTAACCTTCACCCCCTTCACCCACCCACCCAACCCCAGGGACCAAGACTTTTGGTTTTGGAAACTTTTGGTTTCCAGCATCTTTAACGAGTCAAAGAATCCTTCATGCTCTCAGTGCTCATTTTGCAGAACATTCAGAAGCAGCATTGTGTCTTCCTCTGTTTTCTCGGGGAGCAAAGAGGGCTGAATGGTTGAACCTGAAGTGCAGAGGGGTTCCTGACTCATCCTGAGCACATGGCAGGTCAGCCTCCTTGAGGGCCTCCAGGACAGGTGGAGTCCCCCCATCCACAAAGGTGATCAGGAGTTGGATGTTATCCTTCAGGTCCTTTTCCCAACATGGAGAGCATGGAATCAAAGATGTGTTTCTGGACATGAGTTGAATGGGCGAGGAAGGCCTAGGCCACCAAGCAGATGGCATCCACGTGGTCAATGCCCCCTGGGGTGGAGAAAAACTCCAAGAGCATCTCCAGTTTGTCTTGCTCAGCGTCTCTTGTGCCTCTAAAAGCTGGAGTGTCAATGGTTGTGAGAGAATAGGGAATTCCGAAACCCTTCTGATGGTGCAGCAAGTAGGCTGTGACTTCAGACGTCCTGCTTCCAGCTTCGCTTCTCTGGGTGGTTTCATGAATGAGTTTGAATCTGAAATTATCTTCCCACTGGACACCCAGAATGTAATTGATAATCCCATTGATCAGAGTGGTTTTCCCACATCCTGTTGCTCCCATCACCAGGATCACTTTATTTGGCATTTCTGAGTTCTCCTTTCCAAGCTGGTACATCAGACAGGAGGTGGAGGCATCAGAGGGAACTTTCTCCAGAGGAAGGGTGAACACTAATGGCTGTCTGTCCTCCACCAGGGAGCTTTTCTGAAGGAACTGGTGAGCTACGTTTCCTCCATCTTCTTCCTCCAGTGAAGTGGAGAACTCCAGCTCCTCGCTGGAGACACCCAGAGCTCCATTATCATACACAGCCAACCAGGGGTGGGATTCAAATTTTTAACAACCGGTTCTGTGGGCGTGGCTGAGGTGGTGGGCATGGCTTGATGGTCATATGACTGGGTGGACATGGCTTGGTGGTCATGGCTTGTTGGTGGCCAACTCAATATCACTCACATTGAGGCACGCATCTCCTCGCCTGGCCTCTCATGACTGTGGGGATGCTGCAACAGTCGTAAGTGTGAAAAATGGTCATAAGTCACTTTTTTCAGTGCCATTGTAACTTTGAATGGTCACTCCACACAAGCAAAGTACCAGCAAAGGAGGGGAAAAAAACTCCAGAGAAGTTCCTGAGACAGGAAGTCTAGTCCTGCCAAGAATGTAATAAGGGTTAACAGAGAGGCAGTTTCTGTAAGCAACACCAGAATGTTTCCTTCCTGCCTTCCTTACAGGATTAGGCCAGTAATTTCTTTTAACAACCGGTTCTCTGAACTGCCTAGAATGTTAACAACCGGTTCTAGTGAATAGATGCTGTCGCGTTGAGCGACCGGTCTGTTGTTTCGGCTTTCTGGTTGATTGCTGAATTCCTCTCAGAGAATAACCCTCGCA